TAAGAAAATTAAGTAAAAACATATGGTAGTACATGAAAACCCTTTTTTAAATATATTTTCATTTTATAAACTAAAAGTTACATAAAAATATTGGAATAATTGTCTACTAAAACATATTGAAATAATTGTTTACTTTTAAAAGATGGCAATTTCTTTTTAAAAGAAAAAGGTACACGTCGTATACTCTAAGTAAGAAAAGAAATTCAAACTTTTACCACTAAAAGGAATTACTAATATCAAACCACCTCACCGAGTAGTTTTATTATGATTTTGACTTTCACTTTTTATTCATGGAATTGCTAAAACTTTATAACATGCATTTGTTGTAGTTCTCTTTCCCTTAATAAATTTCTTTTAGTTTCTAAAAGTTAGTGTTAAGTTTTTTTCAATCCAACACACAAACAAAATGGAAAATTCTATTCTAACTTAAAACCTATTGATCACAAACCGGTGTCAATTACCATTCAGCTGAGTTTATATTGACATCAACATTAAGTCAAATTGGGGACAAGTTACCAACATAAATTTAACTCAGCGATAACTGATATGAAAAATATTAAACAGATGTATTAGAATCATTGAGGTTTTCGTTCCATGGGACTAAACATCAGTTTTCAAGTTTCATTGGATTAGGGAGTAGACAAAGAATGTGCAATTTTCAGCAAGAAAACAACACTGAGTGCCAAAACTAGAGGAATCATTTTATCAGTGTCTAAAACTGTTACAATGAATCACTTTCTGATCTCTCACAATTCTAAGTGTAAGTGTACAAGTATTGGGGGGCCAAAACCAAAAGAAGTTACTACACACACCAAGGCGCTGATTGAAGGAAGAGATGTGAATGGACAGTGGAGAGAAGGCCAAAAATGTCAATTGAATACAATATGCTGAAACAAAATAATGTTATGGTGGGAAAGATAAGTAGGAAATACTTCAAGTTCAAGCAGATGGCGTTTCTTTTCTTCCGGAGAGAATCATTGAAATCTGCAGACCTCTACTGAATGCTTGATTGAAGAGCAAACGAGTTTGGAATTCTGATACAAATGGGAACCATGACAAAATGGCTATGGGCATGAAAATGATTAGACCCATGATGTATTCATAGGCTCTTGCTAGCTCTTTTATCGATTCCCAGAATCCTATGCCCTTCATCATCGGCCGGCATGCCTGACCAATCTTTGGAAAGGGACAAAAGATTAATTAATACTGTATCTTTCACATATAATTTATGTAGAGAAAGCTGTGCTAAGTAAACAATAACCAAACTAAATCTATGTCCAAGTTTATATTTCAAAGAGAACAGTTAGAGGAACGCAAGAGAGGGAACGTTTTAAGGAAGTTTGGAGAACTGTGATGATTTGACATTTGATTTCCTCAGTAGGTTGAGAAGCCCAAATAAAAGTAAAAACAGCAACAAGTTCAAATCCTTGGATTTGAATTCACAGTTCCAAGTAATTAGCCTTTCACATGCTTGGTAAATCAACGTGTATTTATGCAAAATCAAGCTATTGAAGTGGCAAAGTAGATAGATGTTTATGGGGCATTTGGAGGAAACCTTATAAAGTTCTCATTAAGAAATGGGAAAACGAGTCATAGGGTAGTTCATAAGTGGAAGATTGCTTGCATGAGAGCATGTGGTATTTCCGTGAGAAACTTTCAGGATATTAAAAGTTGGTGGAAAAAAAAAAAACACTGTTGGGATGAGGCATTAGGGATGAAATCGATAACAAATCTACATTAGTTTAGGCCTTAAGAGGACACTATTATACTACATTAGTTTAGGCATTAGGGATGAAATCGATAACTTACTAGAAGGATGGCCCATCCAGTAGGCAAGAATGCAAGTATAGCTGCAAATAGATCTGATACCGTGAGGCCACCTACTACAAACAAGACAGTCATGACTGACATGAAACCAAGGAAGAGAAGAGCTTTGAGTATTCTGAACATGAGCTGGAAATCGGTACCAAACTTTCGTCTGCCCATGGATACCAACTGATAGCCATGTGAAACATAAACATCAGTAACCAAGAATATTAACCAGTTCTATAATAGTAAAAATGTTTGTGCAAATCAGCCTTCAAGGTAGAAAAAAGGGGAATGGTAATGGATGACAAATAATTTTTTCATATTTGTAAATATAGCACAAGAATAAAATTTTGTAAATATGGCAATTTGGTAAGGCAAACGTCTATAACTGATGGATGTCTATCGATATCTATAACTAATAGGTTCTATAGTGATAAACACTTGTAGATGAGCTTTTTCGAAAACTGTTATCATATTTGCAAATTTTTTTCTCCATGTACAACTACCTCTAGAAAAAATAACATGTAGAGGTATACCTTTAAGACAACAAGAGCAATTAACATGACTACCCAAGAAAGTCCATAAACCTGGAAAGAAATCGAAGCGAAAAGTAGCAGTCAGAAATTGGCAGCATATCCAGCGAAAAGTAGCAGTCAGAAATTGGCAGCATATCCGAAGTAATGTCAATGGGACAATAAGAGAAAATATCTTAGCAACAAAATAAAATGTCCCTACCAATAAGCTCTTGACACGATGAGATATATCAAGGTGGTAGACAATTCCATATTGGTAAATCAAGAATCGTAAAGCAAGTATAATCTCCAGCACCCTTCCCCTTATAGTTGTACTTTTCAGGTGTTCCTGTTCTCCATCCCACCAAGATTCCCAACTTTTGTCATGGGAGATCCCTATTCCACCACGATTTCCCATCCACCTTTTCCAATCTGTCCAGTCATCTACAGTCTTTTGCCAATCAAATCCAGATGGATTGAACACAAAGGGAGCAAATAACCAGGAGGCAACCAGAAACCACATTGAGAAAGTGATGAATAGATAAAGTCTTGAACTGCGATAGGACTCTCCATAGATTTGATAAACAAGCAACAGAATAAAAAGTTCCAAGCCTTTGACAAAGTGACTTCGTGAGTACTGCCTATAATTATCAGCAAATTTTGCATGAAAAACAACAAACCCACGACCGGTGGCTCGATATTTAGAACCTCCATGCAAGATCGTTCGACCATAAAAGTGTGCTTTAGTTCCAAGCTGGAATGTGAAAAAGACAGAGGCTAGTTGCAACTGCATGATAACAAAATCACCAAGGGCAGTACGAAATCCTTTTTCAAGGCCAATTTCCATAACCATTGGTAGTACCAACAACAAGCCTAGTTGAAAGACAGACTGAGTAGCCAAAGCCTCTTCAAGAGCCTTAGTCTGACGTATGGAAGGATTCTCAAGAATCTCCCTTTCAACACCACTCATGACCATGTATAAACGTCCATATAAAAATACATACACTGTCAGCACAGTCACCTGCGAGACATATAATTCAGAAGCTAAGAATGATCCGTGCTATTATGACGAACATTTACTGAATATGTCAAAGAATAATCATTTACTGAAGACCTAATTCACATTTGGAAGGATATTTCTGCCCACTAAAGGATTTAATTGAACTCGTACTGTGATAATGATTCACCCCCTCACAGAAACTACCCAAAAAACTCAAGGCTACCAGGATATCTTTATGTTAATTGATAAGAAAAGAAAATAATTCTTCCTCGATTACCACAAATGATTGATACAAGGCTATATAAATAGCAGTCACAAAGAAGAAACTAAAAAGAAGTTCTGTTAGGATAAGGAAATACTTATCTATTAGAACAATAAAACCCTAACCTAAATAAAATAGGAAAACTATAATTTAACACTTTATATAGTCAAGTTGGAAATAGCCAACTAAAAATTTATATTCATGCAATTCTAGGCCAACTACCTCTACATGTTAGCATAAATATGATTATAAAAGAAACATATACATCCAACAATTTTTTTGAGTAAAAAAATTATCATCTTTGCTGACAAAATGCAACCCTAGGCCAAATATAAATTCATATTTGCATATGTACACATTTTTCTAATATTGATATTTACATATAAAGCACATTTAGCAGAACCAATTACTTAACCTAATTGTAACCAAGAGCTTTGTGTTGGTCACAAGGGGAAATTTTTTGGTAGTTATTCAAGGATGGTGCAAAGCCAAATATCAATTATATCTTAATACTATTCTAACAGATCTCACTTATGGAAATAATGGACTCAGAAAGAAAGAGTAGTGTGCTACCATACTACTGAAGTAGAATCCAACAGTTGTGAAGTAGAAGGACATCATTCTGTAGAAGTCAAACCGGCGTCCAAGCCTGTAAACATCACGACTTAGCGTCTGCTCTCCATTCCCATTTGCAACCTTGGCCTCAAAAAGTGATATTTGATTCATGCCCACATCTCGCCCCTTACCAACTTGAATGTACTCGTGATGTGTGACAAACCCCCCACGAAGAGTTGAATTATATCCTGTTAAGATTAGGCTGATTAGCACAATTAATTGACAGGTGGAACCTATCTGCCTGTCATCTTCATTGAAATAAGAAATACCTGCAAATATATCCTCGCTTAAGTTAATGACTCTAGAAGCCTTACTGATGCCACCCCTCGTTATGTGGAAGATTCTGTCAAATATATCAGGATGACCGTAATGGAAACGTACCCTGTGAAAGTAGAGCATGTGAGCTTATGAAACCCATTCATGATATTAACGTTTCAGCAGATAGGATTAATTCAAAATTCAAATGGAATAAGAATATGGTTTTTAAACACAGAAAACACA